ACGGGAGGGACACACAGACAAGTACTGTGGGCACATTCTCATTTACAAGAAAGTAATGACGGTTCTGATTTCTACGTAATAAAGTCATCTAGCTGATGGTTATGAGTGCTTTTATTTGAATTTCACTTGTAAATATAATGTTAAATCTAATTGTAGAATCAGAATTTTAAAACGGTTTTAAAGGAATGATACTAAAAACACAACTAATTTTGAACACAGAACCAGAGTATGTATGCTCAAATTTTTGTTAGCAAGGCTACTAATTCAATGCGGATGGTACAATCTCTGCGTTATGTACCAAATCATGTAGAAATTTAATGTAAATACAGAACAAAAGATCCAAGACTGCCCAGTCACTGCCATACGCCCTGGGCCTAGCACAGCGCCTAAAACATCAGGGCATCAGCGAGTTGTCAAATGGCTGAAAAGGGGATAAAATGATCATGATTATATCATGATTATAATTCCAACTCTGCAGCTGATCTCAAATAATCAGTTAAAACCTCTCCTTTCATCTGACCTGCCTCCCCCAGTGCACCGGCGGTGGGATACTCACTGTAACCCATCAGCTCCCCGCCGGGCGCCTCTGCCACGATGAAATACTCCGGCCAGTGGGCGAGGTACTGCAGGTAGAAGGGGATCCCGTACTGGGGCTCGTTAAGGAGCAGGGAAGTGACGGACAGTCCAGTGTGCTGAAGGAGGTTTCCTTTAAAAAGCGTACTGTCTCCCTGATCCCAGCCCAAGCTGTGACTTACGTAACTGCGTGCCTACACAAGTGTTCAGGAGACAGCAGAGAGCCAGGACCCACGCTCTGGCCGGTCTCCCCGCTGAGCGCGCTGGCCCGGGTCTCTGCATGGCGCTTGTCACCACCTGATGCTCCTGTTCACCGTCTGTCCCCCTGACAACGTGAGTGTCACGCTCACTGCGTCCCTGGTGCTCGGCACGGCAGATGCTGAGCGCGTCTATTCTCCCGTCCCTGCTCTGGGAAAGTAATGAGCAGCTCCTACACTAGCTTCAGCTGTAGGACCATGAAATAACCTTAAACATAAGTACTTCCAAAGGCAACTTAAGCCCAGTTTTTCCCCTCCACTGATTCAAATTCTCCATTTCTAGTAATGCCCCCCAAAAAACCCCGACCTGGAGAGAGCGCCCAAGGAACCTGCTCATTCCTCAATTCCTTGGCCCAGCGCCCTCGCCGGCCCGCCCGCTCCCGCGCCTCTCCGTGCTGTGCGCTCACTGCTGCAGCTCTGCAAGGGACACCAGCATCCATAGCTTTTGTTTTTTTAAAGTTCCTGGAAAATCTGTTCAGTAGTAAATTGTTCAAACTCTCTTCTGAAGGACAGCCTTCTGTCTCTTCAAACAGAACGCTGAACATGGCCGGCCAGCAAGTGGTCCTGCCATCCACCGCCGTCCAGACACCGACGCGCACCGCAGCCACCGCTACCGGGGGCCCCCGGCGCCACACAGACCACGGAGCCCTGCCGCTGACTCGGAAACGGCCTCAGCTGGGTGACGGGGCTTTTGCTGAAAACTTTAAGTGTAACTGGAAGCACATCCTGTAAGCCGCTCTGCATCCTGATACCTTCCCTTGTCATTCAGAATTCTTCGAAATCCTTTCACTTTTTCAAAAACAGGGAGACATCTTTAATAGGTCATCATTTTTAAAATACAAATGAAAATTCAGGAGAAAATTTTTTTTGCTTTCTCCACCTAGCTTTGTTTCGGATACACAGCCCCACTGTCAGTTTTTACTGCTGTCTAGCTCTCCACTGACGGGGCGAACAGTAACACTTCCTATTACCACCCAGACTGTGAACATTCAAGGCAGCGTGGGCCACGTGGTCCCCGCTGCGACCCCTCAACCACGAGAGCCCCAGGACAGGCCACAGACGGCGTGTGAGCTGTCCACCGGGGCTGGGGCCAGTGAAGCCTCACTCACAACAGCAGGCGGTGGGCCAGGTCCGGCTCTGTGCCTCGGTGCGCCAGCCCTGACACACTGGCCTCCATGTTACTATCTTCAGCTTCCAGGAAAACGCATCACAGGTATTACATTACCAACGTTTATCCAGAAAGACAAGCAGCTGACTCTGTCTCTCGCGGTGTGTGGGAGGACTGAGTTTCATCACTATTTAAAGTCCTTGATAATCTGACATACACAATATGGCACCTCATTTTGGCCTTAATATGCATGTGTCTTTTGATTGGTGAGACTGAACTCCTAACGTGCTCATTAGCCTTCTACATGCCCTCTTTGTTAAATTACCAATTAATAGCACCCTCCTACCCTGCAGTGGGCGTGGAGTACAACCCAGAAATCCAACTTTGTGTTTTAAGCCACTGATAATGTGGGGGTTGTCTGTTAGGGTCAGAGAACCCTAATTTCACAAAGCTTTGCCCATTTTTCTATTGGGGAGCATGATAAATACTAACTGTTACCCCAAATCCTTTTTGCATTTCAGCAACACGCCCAATTTAAAGCTGGCTCACTCGCAGGATGTTTCAGACAGGTAAGTGTGGCGCGAGGCAGGTGCTGGTCGAGTGGAGCAGAGGCTGCGTCCTGCTTCCCAAAGGTGCCTGTGGGTCTGGGGAGGACACTCCCCCCACCCCATCTGTTGGTTCTCCTGCCAGGACACGACTGCGATGCACAGGAGGCAGGGCCACCCGGGGACGGGCAGTGGGTCCAGTGACTTCACAGAACCACCGCGGGCCGCCTGTCATCCCCTGACTTCGTGCACATTAGACAGAAATCGCCCATTTTCTGGAGTCACTGCTTCCTGCTGTTCACGGCTGTGCTCGCCGCTGAGGGCAGCGTGGGCAGCAGACTGTGCTGGTCTCGATTTCTGAGGTCATTATAGTAGCAGCTTGACAGGCAGATTTAGGACAATGCTTGTTCCAAGGATTTTTTTTTCAATTGCTTTCCTTGTTGCTTATGATGTTTCCTGACCTCTAAGTTTTAAAGTTTTTCAGTACTCAAATCTGTGTTTCCTTGTTGTTTCTCTATTTTCCTTACTCTAACTAAGCCCTCTTGTAACGTTCTTTAAAAAGGATACAGTTTCTGTAAGTGGATCCAAGTTACTAAAAGAAACAAGAGAAGTGTCAATAGTTAGCACAGTTCACAAAACCAGTTTAAATAAGCCAACTAAACGAGCATTAATGTCCACAGGAGGAACATGCTACAGCCACAACTTTAAAACCACCTTGAGAGCTACGACGGTTTAACCTACCTACCTAATGGCCGTAATGAGCTGTCACTGCCGCCACAATAAAGAAATCTGTACATTTTCACTTAGCTGCTGCTGCTTTACAAGTTACTTTACTGTCCATACATCATCACCAAAACCATTTTCTAAACGGCAATAAACTGTTAGTGAAAGGGGGTCAGCCAGGCACGTGACTCAGTCTGGGGTGGAAGGAGTCTGGGAGCACCTGACAGGCTGCCCCCCCCCCCCCGACAAGCCCCGCTCCCGCGTCCCTGCTATTCGCGGGCGCTCTCACCACGCGGGCTGTTCCTCCCACTCCCCTTCCACACTCCTCACGCCCAGCCCCACTGCCCGTTGGCACACATCCATCCTGTCCTGGGAGGAGGGGACGCGACCTGGCCCTGGCGCCGCCTCGCCAGCACACACGACCGAGCACACACTCCTAAGGCAGTGCATCTGAAAGCCCGTTGTCCACTGCCACGGCAGAGCGCGGCCCCGGCCCTCCTGTCCTCAAGCGGCCACTCTGACTCTGACTCCTCCTCTTGCGCATCCAGTCAGAAGATTCCTAGGGATCCTTAACAAGGTCCAGCAGTCTTCAAACCTTGTGATTTCAGAACCCCTTTACACTCAAAGATTATCGAGGACCCCAAAGAACTTCTGTTTAACATGGGTTTTATCTATTGACATTTAAACTTTTTCAATGTTCCTTTAAAATAATAAATAAGTTACATATTAATAACTAACTTTTTTTCCAAAAGTTTTTATTTTCAAAAACACGAAAGAACAGTGACAAGAATGGACCTGTTTTAACAATTTTACAGGCCTCTATGTCTGGCTATTTAACAGAAAACAGCTGGGCTCTCATTTCTGTGTGTTATGCTTGCTGTTGCAAGACTGTACGTGGGGAAAATGCCACTGTGTACTCGTGAGAATGAAATAGGCAAAAACAAAACAAAACCAAACCCCACTTAGTATTATCATGAAAACAGCCCCGACCCTGCAGAATCCCCAAACTAACCCTGAGGCGCCCCAGCCCATACCCGGAGAACCACTCCCTGACACCCTCTCACCCCACCTCAACTCTCCACCCCTTCCATCTCAGCTGCTTCCCGGTTCACAAAGATAACGCAACAGTAAGAAGAAAGCTTTACCAAGGTCCACCCCACACCCCCGCCTGCTCCGCACCCAGGCCGGGAGTGCTGGTGAGCAGATCCCACCGCTTCTCGGGACCCGGGACCTGGCCGCCCTGAAAGAGCGTACAGGTGTGCTGCACACACAGCCACCAGCAGCTCTTAACAGCTCACGGCTCTGTCCTCACTCAGCCCGAGGTCAACCATCAGGTTTTCGTCCCTCGTCACTGGGCCATGGTGGCTCCTTCCCCGAACACCTGGTGCCCTGGAGTGCCATCCTGGAGCCTTTTTTCTGTCCCACTCAATCCACCACTGCTGTCACTCAGCCTCCTGGTTTGAACACCATCTAAGCAGTGCTGACACCTAAATTCCTATCCTTAGCCCAGACCTAAATTTGAGAGTCCTGTGCGGGGATGCCCACGGGCTCCTCCGCCTGGGGGTCTCAGCGCACTTGGCAGGGGCCTGAGTCCTCCAATGGTCTCTCCAACGTCTAGCCCTTTGACTCCAACGTCGCACTCACACCAGCCTCCCCCCCAACCCCCGTCTGAAGCAGAATGTGGGCACTCTTCCCTCTGCCGGAAGTTCCCTGCCCCAGCAGCCACGTGCTCAGCCCCGCCCCCGGCCTTTCTGCAGTGGCCCTTTCCCTGAACACCTCACCCAAAGCCCCGTCCCGGCTTGCGGCCCATTCCCCTCTCCTGCTCTCAATCTGTCTTTGCACTGAACGCCAAGTTCTACATGTTGTATTTTCCCACCTGCTTTCCCCTCTAAAATGTCAATTTCATAAAGGTCAGGTTTTTTTCCTGCTCTGTTCACTGCTGTGTCTTCAGCACTGGTGCACAGTAGGCATGAAATATTTTTCCAAGAATTAAATGTGTTAAATGAACTGCAGTGTTTGTACACCCACTGCTTCCTTCAGTTACCACTGCAACACCCTCATCAGACTCTCGGAGCTCCTGAGGGAAGCGCCCCATCAGAGGGAGAGACAGAGGAGGAGGAGGAGGAGGAGGAAGAGGGGCCCCCTCTGGCGCATTCTGAAGTGGCCTGAGCAAGCCCCAGGATTCTGACATCAACTGCTCTGTCGTAAGTAAGTGCTCATTCCTCTTCTACTCTGTCTGCTTTCATGTAAGTGTTGGCCCTTCTTTGGTCTTCAGTTAAAAATGATTCTCCAGGAGGCTTTTGCCTCCTCTGTTCCTGAAACCTCAAGGCACACTGTCCCCTCCCAGGCCTGCGCTTCCCAAACCCGAGCCTTTGTCAGGCCGGCACCGCTGGGCGGCTGCTAAGACCTCCTCAAGGGCTCACCTGGCTGGTCCGCCGCCCCCAGCCGCCTGGCTCCACACAGCTATGCGGTGGAGAGCTCGGGGCTCAGGGCATTTCCCCAATGTTCCCTGGAGGTCAGCGACCGCTCTGAGAACCACCACCCAGGAGCCAATCTCCTTAAATCCGACTCCAGCTTCACCCCCTCCCTCGCGGAGCTCTACCGCCTGGGGCAGCACCCTGGGCCCTCGTTTACAGGGGAAATGCTGGCGAGAGGAGGGCCTGCTTTAGAGAGCTGAGGATTAAACGGGTGCGGCCAGGCGCAGCCAGCCCTCCACAAGGTCGTCTTAGTTGCACAGCTCCGACTGGGAGAGCCCCCAGGGAAAGTCCTTCCCAAGGTTCAAGGCTAAACCCCCAACAATGCAGCAGAAGCCCAGTCTCACCTGGGTCTCTGACCTTTCGCTACAGAAACCGGCTCTACAGTCACACTTCTCCGCCAGGCGTCGGCCCCACTGCCGGCTCACTCACCTCCGCACCTGCTTCCTCATTATCAACACTATCCACCCTTCAAGGCTCAGCCCCTCTTTGTTTCTAGCCACCTCTCAAGTTCTGTCCATCCTCCTGACAACTGAATCTGAACTACTCGGTCCCTAGTTTTCACATAACTACCCCGGGGATCTTTACAGTGGATTTGGGTTTGATGGAAAGATGGATGGATAGATGGATGGATGGATGGATGATCATAAACGTAAGGAGCCAATGCAGCGAAGTGTTAACGATAGAGTGCAGCTGATGGGTCTACAGGTGTTCACGGTCAATTCCGCCAACCTTTTAAGTGTTAAGAAAATTTCACAATAAAACGTTGAGAGAGAGGAGAGAGAAAGATACCTGCAAATCACAGACCCTAACTTAACTCGACCGAAAGAAAGCGCACGCAGGGGGCCTCCCCCAGCTGGTGCCCCCTGCCCTGACTCCTCCCGGAGAGGCGCGCAAAAACTGTAAAGGCACGCACAAAACCAGCCGAGCCTGGGGAAGGCGCGGTCCCAGCGCTGCTCCGCGCAGGTACACGGGGTCTTCGCCGCCAGGTGCGCCCGGCTGCCCGCGCCCCGCCTTCGCCCCAGACAGCCCCCAGGGTCTCCCGCACCGGCCCCGCTTCCCCTGAGAGTCTCCCGCACCGGCCCCGCTTCCCCCGAGTGGCGCCCGCACCGGCCCGCGCGCAGGCCTGCGGGGTGACGTCTACGCGCCCGACCAAGGTCGGCGGGGCGCCCGCACGTCTGCCCGGCCCGGCCTCCCCTCCGCGGCCCCGGGGAC